ACAGGGCTACACTTAGAGACAGACAACCAAGCACACTCACATTCACACCTACGGACAATTTAGAATCACCAATTAACCTCAACACGCTTTTAGACTGTGTGGGAGGAAGCCAGAGAACCTGGAGAGAACCCACGCTACACGGGGAGAACATGGAGACTCCAAACAGAAAGATCCCGGTGCCCACACCGGGACGCGAACTGGCGACCTTCTTGCTGCGAGGCAACAGTGCTACCAACTGCGCCTCAGATTATCATCATTTTTAAAAACCTCTTAAAGTTACTAAAGGCAAAATAAGCAAACTGTATCCATGTCACAAGATTAAAAATATTCAATGAAAGATAAATCTAAAACCTTGTATGTGAGAATGTGTACAAAAAACCCATTGGTGAAACTGATTACAAACTGGTACATAGCACACAGGTATTCATACTAAGATTTTTTTTTTTTTGGGGGGGGGGTTCCTGGCATTCACCACTACTGGTGACTTTCTGACACTGCCTATTGAGGTTTGTGCAGCTCCTGAGTGGGAACTGGAGAAGTTCGAGGGCCTGAACACCTGCTGTGAAACAGTCACCAGCAGCCAGACACCGAACTTCTCCAGGTTGCCCCCACCCCCACCCCCACCCCCACATCCATCAAGGGTTTCATGGTTCAAAGGGTAAAAGGTCACTCTTTTGGATTTGAAAGTGTCGCATGTGAGCTAGTTTAGTGGATGTAAGGGATTAGAGTGTTACCCTAAACCACCGATAATGACAATTCACTTAAGGAGGATAAATGATCAGTGAGAGTATTTAGGTCACTTTAACTCAACTCCTGGTGAAAAGTTCACTAAGTATGTATATATATATATATATATACACATATATATGTGTATATATATACACACATACACATATAAATATCACAAATGTAAAAAAAGTGACATCTTTATGTAGTAATGGCAACTTAAAAGTGTATTTTATGATACAGCAAATCCAGAGACCTTCACTGTGCAACATGTGACACACTCAATTCATATACCACCGATTGTATGCAAAAATATAAAAGGTTATCTTTGAATTTGAAACAATCACATGTGAACCTGTTTTATGGACTCGAGGATTTACTGGAGCCATTTTCTAACAAGGTACATGTAATAAAGACTTCATAAAATGTAAGAAACTACTTTAATAATCTTTAACAATTCTTCCACTCATGCTTTATAACTCATTAATAAGCTTACTTATGAAGAGCTGCAGAGCATCTGCACTAAAATTCATTTTGATCCATTAAAATCTCACTGTATTAATATTTAGCAATACACTGAAAGTATTTGTGAATGCATTATTAACAAATGGAGAAAATGGACAAAATTAGATTTTTTTTAAAACAACATGCCGACCCAAATGTTGAAATGATGATTATTCTACAAAAGATATGAAGTATTTATGAACACTGATGAACCTCATATAAAGGATGCCAAAATAGAAAATATCGATTTGCTTTATAAACCCTAAAATTGCAGCATTATACTCGATTCTATCAAAAACAAACAACAAAAATTAAACCTATAGTGTCTTTAATAGACTTTCTGCATAGTAGCTGTAATATCACTGTACTTTATACTGTAGTAATTATTAATATTACTGTGCCATCACTCTTCAGTCTGATGAAACGTGGCATACTAACAGATTTATTACACGTACATTACAGTAAAACTTCTGAAACGCCAGGATCACCAAACATCAAGTCATGAAACTTGTGCTACAGATCGTCTATCCATTTGTGTGTCCACAGTCATAGTGAATTATTCCACACTTTTAGCTTTGTGTTCAGAATTTCGGTGCTCTCCATGACAGAAGATTCAGGAATTATTTCATCTCTGCTGATATTTTTCACTGTTGATGTTTGATCATCTTGTTTTATATGACAGAACACACATGACTGTGAAAAAGTAACAAGAAGCTACTGGCGTTTTTCACTAAAAACACATTAAACTTAAGTGTCTTTTGTTCCAGTGTTTTCAGTGTTTCAACTGATTTTAACTGTGAATATTCCAAAAGAGTCCATCTTAAGTGGCACTTACTGCAGTGCCATTTTGTCTGTGTTTTAAGTTACCAAATGGAAACAAGTTTATTTTATTGTACCCATAAAATAGTGCAGACATCCAGGAATGCAACAATATGACATTTACTGTACCAAGTGTTTGAAGAGACAAACAGCAAACATGTGATTTTTTTTTATTTTTAGCAAAAAAATACATGGAAAAATAAATCTCAACTAAACTAGCATACTCAGTTCCTTAATCACATCTTGATGGTTGTCTAGAAAGAAATAGCTAAAGGATGTTTGCTGTGCGTCATCTGGTCTCAGCTTGCACGTGTCCTGAGTGTTTAGGGATACTCTAGCCTAAAAACAGCAATGCTAGAGGCAGAGCTGTCATGAATTATGCCAGCAATGGCAGTCATGTACGGTTGCTCCCTTCTGGCTATGGGTATTTGGTTTCACTCATGCTCATAGACTACTGGTCCTCCGGCAAAGGTCAGCACCTTGTTAGGGCCTGCTGGGATAACTAACAACCCTATTGTTGTGCGAATACACACTTTTATGAATAGCAGTGACGAGCTGCGTTTGAAAGTGGAACTGAGAAGTTAATTTCTTGTGTTTGGATAACAAACTGTGATCTGTTACCCATTTGAAAATATAAAGAGTCATGTGAGGCACTGGTGAAATGTGTTTCGTGTGCAGGAGGCCAGACTGTGACTAACAACACACATTAAATCAGTAAACGAACACTAAACTGTTAAGAATGCTGCATTAGTAAAAAATAAATAAATCTAAGAATACATCCCTTTGTAGAAAAGCATCTGCCGAATAAACAGCGTCTTTTGGCAACAATTTCATGAAAATAAAATGTACATAAATCACCAATGAATATAATCACAGTGATATTGTGACAAGAAAATTCCTAAATGTCTTTTTTTTAAAAATCTGATTAAATAAGAAACCTGTCCAGTTCTATGATATGGTGTATTTTAAAGCCTCTTTGTGTGGGATTTGAAAACTTGAATTTTGAAAAAAAAAATCGACGTTCTTGTCAGATTTTTCCTACAAACGACGAGAATAACTGAAACGCAAGCTATGATGATAGAAAACTCCAGCCTATATACACGCTTAAGATGTGAAACTGGGACTTGTCAGAAGCTTCCCTCTAGTGGTGCACTCATGTCCCAACACACAAACACCCATCACACCATGAGTGGAAGTGGAAGAAGAAAAGTATCCCTGCGGCAAACAAACAAATTTGTCTAAAAGAAATTAAACTGAAATTATGACAACAGGAGCTTTTATTTTAAAGTGTCAGAACTTCATTTACTCATTAGGCCTTAAGTGACCATCAGCTTCAGAGCTTTAAAATGTTCCTCCTTCAAAAACTTGTGATAATGCTCAACAACAACAGCTGTCTCTAAGCAACTGACTGGTTTCCACAAAGCAAAGGGGGAAAAGGATATTAAAGCTCTTCCAACTTGAAATTTCTCCTGTCCAAAGCAGTTTGGGGAACCTGGAAAAATCAAGAGAAGATGTGGAGGACCGGGAATAAAAGGCAGAAATGTCATGCAGTTAAGTTAATAAACTGAAACAGAATATAAGCTGACTTCAATGATCCAAAGTTAAATCCACCATGAAGAAAACACAAGCTGAAACTTACCAATTGGCGATTACAGCTAACATTATTTCAAATCTGTGGATAGATCTCCCAGAGCCCAGTTAAATACTCTATAAAACAATACAAAACAAAAAGCACATGCAGCATTTAAATGGTCTTCTTTTCTTAGAGAAAAAAGTTAATGATCTATTTTCTACATATAGATTATAAAAGGGTAAATATAGCCAATTGTGCACAAAAACTGTTTGAGCTGTTCAAGTGGTGACAAATTTTCAACCACTGAGTTGATCCACACTGCTGTCAGCTGAGGCTCTGAAGGACAATGATCAGCTCGAGTGACCAGCATACTGACACTTTTTTTTTTTTTAAACCTGTGACTATAAAAGGCTACCTTGCAATGCAGTTTCATTCAAATGACGTGATGCCACAGAAGACAAAAGAAAGAACGAGTGTTGTAGGCACTTGTCATCTAAGAAATCCATTCAAACAGCTCTGGATGGACGTGTCCAACAACATGATTCGGTCTCCTAAAATGTCCACCAACTTCTCCGAGCCCTCCAGGAAGAGTGGGACAACTTTCCACAAGTATCACTGACAACCTGATCAGCTCTGGCACATGTGTGACTTGTTACTGACTTGTGATTTCGAGTGTATGATGCCACTCTCAATCTGTTCATTGTCATTTCCAATATAATTTCATGGTGTCTGCTCTGTTGTTGAGATGCAGTAAGATGGAACAACAAATACTTATTCCCCTGTGTTAAAAAGAGTGGATTGATTGCAGCAAGAAAATAAAAACCAAACAAAAAAAAAAACGCCTCAAAACTTGTTTATAAAAATATGAATGGAAGGGTGGGAGGAAATTCTTAAATCAAGAAAAAAAGCAAGAAGCATTTGTAAGCCATGACATGTCTGTGAAGATTCTCAGTCATCCAGGTCATGATTATTCTGGTGGATTAATCGTAGCAACTGGACTTGCTTGAGTCCCTTGAAGACATTTCGCCTCTCATCCAAGAGGCTTCATCAGTTCTGACTGACTAGTTGGGAGTTCCAGATACTTATACCCTAAGGAGCCATTAACACCTGAGTTTTGGTTTCAATTGGGGGTTTGTTGCTCTTCCACCTCTTTATGTGAGTCGTTAGTGCTCCCCCTGCCACAAAGGGGTTCGTTAGGGTCTTTATGGCTAGGTGTGAATTCAGTGTCATCTTCCTGGGGAGAGATCTTAGGACTGAATTGTAAACCGGTGAGAGATGATGCCTCAGACCTCCACCTCTGTTGAGGGATGGTCTTTCCAGTTTGACATAGATGGCTTCTTTCACCCCTCTCTCAAACCATCTGTCCTCCCTGACCAAACAGCAGTCCACCTGCATCTCAAGGACAAAGGACACTCATTTGAAGACAACAACGTACAGATTTTGGCCAAGGAGGACAGATGGTCATAAGTATCTGGAACTCCCAAGTAGTCAGTCAGAACTGATGAAGCCTCTTGGATGAGAGATGGAATGTCTTCAAGGAACTCAAGCAAGTCCAGTTGCTACGATTAATCTACCAGAATAAGCTACGATATCTGCCAGTAACAGGGGAGGAACACTAAGTAGCACTCGGTAGGGTGCTCAAACTTTTGCACATCACAGTTATAGTTTTTTTTAAAGAGGTGAACAAGTTGAACTGCTTTCACGTTTGAAGAACTGATCACCAAAACATGTAGGATTGTATGCCATTCTGTGTAAAAGACAGCTAGATGACCTGTTTATGGTCTCAATCAAAGTGAGCTGACTGATAACTGTAATGTAAAAAAAAAAAAAAAAGTAATGTTTTCAGTACACATGTATTTGAAATACAATGTTTATTAGTGCATTTCCTGCTGTACACGTGACTGTGTTTCTTGTCAGTGGATTTTGCTCTTTATGGTACTTCTTGTCCTAATGAAGCCCATTTTCTCTGTGATGCACAATCAGCTACGTAAACAATTTTACGCGTACATTTTAATGCTCTCCATGGTGCTGAAATAAACCGTCATGTGATGTTTTTGTATCAGTTTTAAATGTCTCTTAAAAATTAAATCACATTTTGTGGCGCTAAATCAAATGATGATCGAATGTAAACACACAGTAATGTTTAGAGTCTTTCTCAATGACAATCACCATTGTGATCACGGACGAATCGACGTGTTTGTGTTGTTCTTTTTTTTTTTTTCTTCCCCTCCGTCCAAAAGCGAAGCAGCCTTCCGGGACGCAGCTGCAGCCTGTATCAGCCTGTGTCAGGGCTTTGCGCTGCGCTGCTGCATTTTTATTTCGCCCATCGGCTAAAAAGCGACTGCAAGCTCCCACCTCCGTCCCATTCACTGATGTCTAAGAAGAGACATGACGTCTTCTAAGCAGTGGCTGGCGGTCGGGATTGCGCTTCTGTGCATTTATGGATCAGCTGAATCGAAAAGGAATTTCAAATGTCCTTCAGGATGCTCCTGCTCCAAGGAGACCATCATCTGCGTCGGTACCTCACAGATCCCCAGGACCATACCGAATGAGATCAACTCCCTGTAAGTACACAGTTATTCACCCAGAGAGGACTATGGTGCTTCACTGAATCCTTCAATAAACAGTTCATGCTGCATCCAGCTCACTGCCTCTTGTGTGCAGACTTGGCACTTGGTGTGTCTGGTACAGAGTGTTAAGATGTCCTTTATGTGTGTGTGTGTGTGTCCCTCCCTAACAGAAGCATGGTCAATGGATCCATTGCGGAAATCACAGAGGGGATGTTTTCACTGATGCCTTCTCTTCAGCTGTTGTAGGTGGATTTTGTATCACTGCTTATTTGGCGATTACTGATATTTTAGGGCTGAGTTGACAAGATATTGCAATAACACACACATAAACAACTACCTGGATTCTATAATGCAAACTTTTTCTGTTCATTCAGAGTTCAAAAACAAGCAAAAATGCTAAAGAGGAGAGTTTAAAAAATATATATTTAGCTTACTCAGTTGTTAAGGTTTGTTTTTCTGTTCCAGGCTTCTAAATGCAAATTCTTTGACCACAATCAAAGACGATGCCTTCTCTGGTCTGCCTCATCTAGAATATCTGTGAGTAATAACAAGAAAACAAACTTCTTTTTTATTAAACATCTTAAATGACTTAATATATTTATTGCAAATGATGGTGGATGCACATTTACCCCTACTGTAAGCCATCTCAGTCACCACAACCATTCAATTTACTTTACTTCTCCCACCAATGGGCCAAAAATAAAAATAACAAATCCACGAATGTATATGTGCCACAACAAAAAGTGTTCAAATAAGTCATTTCTCTGCCTGTCTACAATGCTGAACCAACAACTATATCATTCATGGAACAGATTCATTGAGGGGAACAAGATTGAAACAATCACCAAAAATGCCTTCCGTGGTCTCCGAGGTTTGACTCATCTGTAAGTCTGCTCTCCTTGTCTTAACCAATCAGAAATGAGTTTTCACCTTTTATTTACACTATGCAGCACCTGCAGCTGCAGCATTATAAAGAAAAACTGATGCTGCAACTTGAAAAGAAAAAAAAAAAGACAGAGAATAGAAAGAAATGAGTTTTTCTGTTTTCTCCCCGTGTGTCTGCTTCAGCTCCCTTGCAAATAACCATATGAGGTTTCTGCCAAGAGATCTCTTTTTTGACTTGGATTCGTTGCTGGAACTGTGAGTAAGCAGTTGTGGTGTCAGCAGTGTGTGTGTGTGTGTGTCTGAGAGAGAGAGAGAAAGAGAGAGAGAGAGTATCTACTTTTTCCATACTGCATTCCAAAGTGATGCTGACTCAGGCTTCACTGTATGTTTGGCACTGAATCCCACAAGAAAAGCATGAAATATAAGTCTACTGGAAATGTCTATCTATCTATCTATCTATCTATCTATCTATCTATCTATCTATCTATCTATCTATCTATCTATCTATCTATCTATCTATCTATCTATCTA